TACTTTCGCTTGCCTGCCTGTTCATTGGTTACATCAAAAACAAGTACGAGCCCTCCCAGGTCTTACACTTCATCAACATTTCCTACGTGCTAATTTACTCCTCCTTCAATGTATTTGTGCAGTTTTTGATCCTGCTCTTGGCAATGGGCTATGGTATTGTGCATTCTCATAAACTGGGCTCTAGAAACCCGCTAGTTTATCTGAAAAGAGCATCCGCTTTGTTGTTTGGAAATTTAGGTGTTCTTGCAACCATGGTGGTTTGGAGCAGATTCATTCTGGCCCCACCCTCAACTATGGCCAACTGGGATGACCAATTAGTGTGGGTGTTCTTTGGATTTCATATGCAGACCTTGAAGCCGACCTGGTTGCAATTGGTAGCTTCCGATATTATGGGCATCTTCAACTCAATCTGGTTTATGGGCCAGATTCTGAGCTATATCGAATTAAGAGTATTCACTGCCTCGTTTTCGGCCCCCTACAAAAACCAAATCAACTCGAAGATTACTAGATCTGTTGTTGTGGTTACATTTTTCATTCTATGTGCACACAGAGTGGAAGTTTCGATCATATCAAAAACAAAGCTGAATTTCGGGATAGGCCTCGCTGATGGACCATTGCAGTTTTACATGGGGTTTGGGCACGTGATCTTCTTTATCATGGTGATCGTGCTCTTCGCTATTTTCATAAATGACAACAGCAGGCTGTGTGTCGAGAATGGTGCAACTCAAGAGAATAAGAGAATTCACTTCGAAAAAGAATTGGATGAGGAGCCAGTACAAGATACAGCTTAAGTACTAATTTAAAATACAGGGTATCGGTCGATGATAGAATTGAGCACGCGTAAAAAGCCAAAATGATTCTTTGAGTATTGCAGCAAGAGTTGTTTCAACGATCTAGAAGTTTCAAACTCGGGGGTTTTTACCAATGAACTAATGGGTAGTCGTTCATTGGATGTATTTGTTTACTGGTTGGTTCCAGATTCGTTATGAATGTAGCTAATGCACTTTCGAGTCGTACAGTATGTCTTTTATACCATGAATTGTCATCGACTTGTTATTCTCAAATACATATCCACTAGAGTCCAAGTCTTCTACTATAGATACCTCTACTTTTCAGTATTTCTGCTATTAATTGTCTTTAACATGTACAGTCAGTCTTCAAGATACGATTAATTTACCCTTTTTATCCTCGAATCCCAGTCTATCATTAGTTGCACTTCCACTGCTGTATTTTTACTTTATTCTCAATTGCACCCAGTGAATCATTAATTACTAATTACTTATCTATACTGACTCTGACACTACTTACTCGTCCTTCAATGCAGTCCCCCGGATGTGCTTCTCTCTGTCGGGAACCACCTTCTTAGTACCAGGCTTGCTGTGTCTTCTATCATTTTGTTCTCTCTTCTTCATGCTTTCCATCTCGGTGGCCTTTATCTCCTTGGCCTTCTTCACGGTAGATGGAAGATGACGGTGTCTGGAGATACGCTTGATCTCAGGCATGTGCTTGTATCTCTCCTTCAAGGCAGCGTCGTACTCCATCTTGTTTCTTTGTCTGGTGGACTTGACTCCGGCTCTGTCTGAAGCATTGGTTCTCCACAACCTGATGTTGGTGTCGTCACTTCCACTCAAGATATATCTGGCATCGGTGGTGAACTTCACGCTAAACACCCTCTGCATTCTCTTGGTATGGTATATGTCTCTGGAATGTCCGTCTCTAGCTCTGAAGATCCGGATGGTCTTGTCGTAACCTCCTGTAACAACCTCTTCACCGGTTGGAGAAAAGTCAACGTCCATGATAGGTGCTACGTGGTCCTTGTAGACGTTGAATGACTTGTTGAGGTTTCTCATGTCCCAGAGGTATGCGTTATGATCTTCTCCTCCACTGACAAAGTGGAATGCTTCCATGGGGTTCCAGGCAAGGGCGTTGGTCCTCAAGCTGGTCACCACCTTCTGGATAGGCGAGTTGGTTCTAATGTCGTACAAAACAATAGAATTATCAGACCCTGCAGATGCTATGATGTTGGTTTCGGTCTTGTTGAACTTGACGGTGTTGACGTTGTCTGCTCCCCAGGTGAGATTACTGATGTATCTTGTTCTGTTCATGTCCCACAACTGGATAGCAGCACCACCAGTGACAAACGTCTCTTCTTCACGGTGATGGTCAATACCCTTGAATGCATGCTCTCCGAGGAAGGTTTTCACGAGCCCACTGTCCTTGGTTTCGTATATTTGCTCGTCCGTGATGTTATGGTTGAACTTGTCTGTGTTGACGGACCACAACTTGACAGTCTTATCGTCACCACACGACAACATATGGCTGGCATCTGGCGTCACCACTAATCCACTGACCATACCATAATGTGCCTTGAAACTGATGGTTTCTTGTCTCGAAGTCAAACTCCAGTATTTTATGACACCGTCACCAGATCCAGAAGCGACCTGGTTGGTAGTGGAGAAGTTTTTGGCAATCGAGTACACCCCATCACGGTGGCCGTCTCCCAACTGACCCACAAATGGTTGGGCAAACATTCTTTCCATCTTGGTGGCTGTCAATGCTTTGGTATACTCTCTGGCTCTTTCGAACGGATGGAGCGCAGGGTTGAGATTTCTGGGAAGAGCGGACTCCTGGGTGTTTCTAACTGGAACATAGGCATCTGATGACCTACTGATGGTTTTGATCTTCATTCTGGCTGGACCTTTTTGATATGACTAAGAAAGAGAACAGGAAACCTGGTAGCTGTTCTGATGTGTATACGAATGGGATATCCCTGGGGTGGCTATGTACTTTCGGTCAAGATAAGGTGCTTTGTGGTGATGCTTGATTTTGATAATTTTTATCTCATCGGGTCGTGCGAAAGTGGGATGGGCTGGAGAGACTAGGTGAAAGTAGACTGCGAATGGATTACAAGTGCAAACAAGAAGAATGGGCTAATAGGTTAGCCTTGGGAACTACTTCGTTTTTGGGGCGACCGCTTTTACTTACACTCAGGAAATTTGATGGTCTGTCCGAACTTCCAGCATCATTTTTTTGAAACTGAACTGCTCTTTTCCACACCTACATTATCGTATCTATATGTACATTATGGCTGTATAAATTAGTAGTGAAGAGGATGAATCGATCTAGACTGATCGAATACGCCATTCCACTCAAACACCAGTCCTGCTAATGTTTCGGTTCCTTGAATAAAGAAGAATTCTATAATTATTGAATGGCAAAGCAGTAGTAGCAATGAGAATAATTGCGAGCAATGGATGATGCATCGAAGTAAGAATCCAACGCCAGTGAGTACACTCTTGAGGTGTAAACGATTATTATAAAGACATGTTTTGACGAAATGAAAACTCAAAAGCGCTAGTTGCTGTTCTTGGAATGACGCAGAAATGCAATAGTTTACCTGTATGAGTACCGTCACAACGTTATGTCCAAAATCAAACCGACGTCGTCCACATTTTCTTTGGATAAGTCTTCCAAAAATGGCAACAAATCCAACAATTCATTATCATGAGTATCACTGAACCAACTCGAAATTGGAATAGAATGTTGAGGATGAAAGATGTATGAAGCAGGGGAATTATCAATGATGATAGAATCACTTAAAGGTCTCCCTATTTGTGACAAGTTCTTTATAAAGTTGCCCTGATAATTGTAACAAGAATCTCTAAATAATCTATGATGCACCGATTTGTGGAGATCCAACTTGTCCAACAATGGATCCCCGTATTTCAGGACCGAGGCTGTGAACACAACCACTTCATACCACTTGCCAACTTGTTTTAAGAACTCGTCCACCCCTGGTCTTTTTATCACATACACATGGTGTATTTGATTGTCTATTTCAACAGGGATGACGAAATCTGCGGTTCTCAAGTACTTGAAGGAGGAATGGACCAAGGTTTCGTCCAAATCCAAAATAAGACACTTTTTGTTTCCGTACTTCTTGTCCTTGTGGCCAAGGAGAAAGCCGGTTTCTGGGTTGAAAGCCTGGCCCTCTTGCAAGCGCGTCAAGTCCAAGAGCGAGTCTTCGTACAAGTCATCCTCGTACTCTTCTTCGTCTGAGTCCGCGGGAACCGTGGATTTGGGGTCGTCGTCGCTGACCAACTCTTTGTTGGCCTTAGGTTCTGTGGGGGTGTTGTTANACTCGTCGTTGGTGTTGGTGATGGTTTCTGTCTCATTTATCGAATGGTCTTCGTCCAACAATTCTTTCTTGTTGGTATGGCCATTGGTGGTGGTGCGAGGAGCAGCCGATGTGGCGACAGTCGCCTGGCCATCATCTTTGGCAGAGTGGCGGTGTTGTTGCTTGGCACGATGGGCACCTGTTTTGTGGGCGCTGGTGGAGGCAGAGGACTTTTTCGATGCCAGCGACTGGTGGTACGCTTTGTCGTTAGCATCGTCCTTGCTGTCCACAGAACAACACAACAACGAAGATATTAATTTATCCATGGTGTCCGGACCGGCGGTAAAAACCTGGGAGAAGTAGGAGGAACGATAAGCACCGATGACACCGGAGGAGGCGCGATGAGGGAAGGTGATGAGGGGGAAGATAACGGAGCAGGGTGAAAACAAACGGAGGTTCAACTCCCTGTTCGTTTTTCAAGAGAGGGTCGTGTGCTGGCGCACTATGGACTGATGAGGAGTGCTCGGCAGGCTGGCTGGGATGCCACGGGAGAGGGGGTTCCATTTGAGGGGGTTTGGGTGCTACGAAGGAGTCAGTGGAAGAGACAAGGGGATGAGGGAGCTACAGTGGGTACTACGGTGGGTGTTTGGTGGACGCTGTGGCACGCTGGGGGCCATTTTTCACCGATGGCTTGCGCGTGGGGGCACTAAGGGTGCTAGCAATCGTAAAATGTTAGACAGCGGTGGTGCGGATACGAGTGGTCACGTGCCGTGACTTCCGGAGGAGCCATTTGGACGACTGTGAGTCATTAATGAATGGCTGCTATTGGCCATGCGCGGCAGCACGAACCGGGAGCGACGGGACTTTCACGCTGCCTGGTAGTTCGCTTGAGTCCTTCACTGCCATGTGCTGGCAAGAGTTTGGAAGTCTGCCTGTGCACTGCGCAGAACTAGTGAAATTTCAATTTTTTCACGGGCTCTCCAAGCACAAGAGACTAACTGACGCCTCTCGTCTATCAGTCGATGCTGGGTGCACCATGCCGCCTAGTACACATGTGTGTAGGGTGCCAGACGAGGTTGCTCAATCGGCTGCTGTCATATTGAAGATATGGTTGGCGGGTGTAAACGGAGATACCTGGCAATATTCGCACTACATGGGTTTGTGACTGTGTGTCCAGTACCGATGATACTGGAACATAGTATTTATCCGGGAGGTGTCGTACTATCTAGCAGGTTTGACTCTGGACGTGGAAATTTCCCAAAATTCAGGGCAAAGCATTCCTATTTCGAATGATATCAAGTGGGAATCTACTTTGCTGAAATGTGAAAAAGTTGCGAATTCTAAGTGAAATACCCAAGTGAAACTTGATTTTGAGTTAAGAAAAGATGAAATTATATATAATTTAGAAAGAATTTTAAGAAGGTTTCTCTTCCTATGTATACGCGATTTAAGGGCTATAGTTCCATATGCTCTTCGGTCTTACTAAATTCGAAGTACACCGAAGAAAGCCTGCTGCCTTTGAAAAAGCAGCTAACTATATGCGTTTTTGGGCCATGATTAAATTCGAATGTGGGGTGAGGATTATTCCATCCATTTGTGCAAACCTCTAACAGAGATATTCTTAGCCGCACAACAGCCTACGATTGGCTTGAGGCAAATTCTTTAGAAGTGCTAGATTCCCTTAAAAAAGGTATTGCAGCATTGCAACACTTATGACAGGTTCTCACAATCTTCACAATTTTCAAATTGTCACTAGTGATAAGGCACTATATATACCGGGTCTGATGATATAGGGACAGCGTAGACCAATGGTACCGGTGCTAGCCACCTAGTTTTATTAAGTTTTGAAAGGTATTCCAACTTTCAGTTTTGTGTTCCAATTTTTATCTATCAATCTGGAATTCAATCCAACCATTATGACTAAGGAATTATATATTATCACTTAGATACATAGAACATGATGAGATGCAAAAACTCGTGTTGACTAAATCCATTGGACCTTCTTTCTAGCTTCATAATTCATTTTTGATTAACCTCAAGAAAGATTAAATGATTGTAATTTGTGGCAAAAAACTTGCAGTAAATTCACCAGATCACTAATATTCTCACAAGGATGCATTTATCTTATTCTACCTTCTATTTCGTTCGTCTGTTGCTTCATGTTAGCGGCCTCTCAAGCTTACTAATCTTCCCATATTAAAGACAACTAGTCACGTGACAAGTAGACAATCTCTGTGATCTCTTTCATCAATATCAATCTAACCAATTCGCCTCCAAAATTCCCGGAATCTGCATTCCAACATCTATAACCACCCTAAACTAACTTCAGGGCCTTTAGTTAATTGATTCCTTAAAATTTGGGATCTGCATTCTATCAACATTTCCGATTCGCCTTGAATGCCAAAGCCGTCAGATCCAAGTGACAGTCTTCCCGATTTTCAAGAGCTATCAAAACTTCCCGATGAAGTACTAACCACCATTTTTGAACTCCTTCCTCCGGAATATGTCCAAGAGTTTCTCTTGTTTCTACCAGCCACAAGATCGTTCGTGGAGTCTGAATACTTCTCAGAGGTTCACTTTATAGTGTCACCCACCAGAAGGCCCTACGTTACTTCTTTGACGCAACTGAAGCTCCAGTATTGTGCATTCAAAAGCTTTTTTGACATAACCCAATTTCTTGACTGCAATGAAGATTTTATACCTAAAAAATTACTTCTTGTCAGTGGAGGTGATTTTCAGTCATTGACCACATTGTTGAGATTTTACAGAAAATGGATAACTAGAGTTCCAATCCTTGATTTCACCATTGATACCCATAGCTTAACTACTGATGACTTCAGTTTGCTACTCTCGTTCCCAAACCTCAAACGCATCCATTTTTCAGGTGTTGAGATGGATTGGACCACTAAGTTTCTCCGAAAACTGCCTGAATTCCGGTCTCATCCTGGTCTAGAAAATGTTATTTTTTTGGGACATGGCATATACTCGTGGAAAGATATAGACTTCCCTCCAAATGTTCGTCATCTTGATCTATCCTGGACTAAAACTGATGTGTTAAGTATTAATTTATCAGATAAAATATCTGAACTCTACCTTAATAACGCCGGGGTCAGTCTGGAGAATTTGTCTAGTATTAGATTTCCTCCGAACTTGAAAACTCTTATGATGACATACAACAAGTTGGAAACATTTAATCTAGATGTTCTTCCAGAATCGCTAGAGACAATTGACCTATCGTTCAATGGAATTCAGTGGTTTGAGGGTTCAAAATGGCCTGCTGGTTTAAAGTCCATTTTCTTGGCCAGCAACCATCTTGGAGATGATGAGATGAAACAGTTGACGCTGGTACCGTGGCCCCAAAACCTCGAACGATTATCAGTCGAAGCCAACATATTTACAGACTTAAGAAATTTGGGCAACCTACCCAGTTTAAACTGGCTTGATGTGGGAATGTGTGAAATACGAGGATTTGAGGGCTTTGAGTTTCCTTCCAGTTTAAGGTACTTGAGAATGGGTAGTTGCGAAAGGATAGCATGGCCCACAGGACCACCCGGGCAAAGTCAACAACCCGACCCTACTTCAAACTATCCCGATAGAAATCGAATGGTTTTTCCTCCATCACTTCTCGAGCTTGATTTAATGTCATGCAAAATACCATCACTTCATTATTTCTCATTCCCCAAATCCTTGACAAAATTGGCCCTTTCAGGTAACAGAATCACCAGTCTCGCTCTGTACGAAGACGAGAAGCACAGATGGTCAATTCTCGAGAACCTCGTGGAGCTCGATTTGTTCAAAAACCGTATTACGTCCCTTGACCACTGGAGACCACCCGCTTCGTTGAAATCCCTTGACTTAAGCGACAACAAACTCACAAAGATATCTGGACTGCCATTATTTGACGTCAGCTACAATAGCCACACCACCAAGCTCCACACCATCAATGTCTCAGAAAATAGCATTACCGACATTAATGGCATACATCTCCCTGAGAATTTGGCAAGGTTGAAATTGCGGGATAATTTGCTCGAAACCGTCAGTATCTCGCCAAGCATCGCTAATCATCAGGTTTTGCGGGAGTTGGACCTCAGTCAGAACAGGATCCGCAGCCTCCAGTTTACTGGAAAAGGCACAGGGAAGATACAAGAGGTGGATCTTAGCGGGAATTTGCTCCTCAAAGGGGGTGAAGGCGGAGCTCTTGGGGTACGAGAAAAAATGGGACAGTTCTACGACGATTTCGAAGCCGGGTTTGGCGTCAGGGTCAGTGCCAGGAAGTTCAATGTCAACAGTGTCCACAGGGTGGTTTCATCGTGAGCACCTGACGTAATTGCATTACGCAGGAGTTTCTATCGACTATATTTCCACCAGATTTGAATATGCTCTTACACTATATAGCTACTACCCAGCTTATACTCGAGCTACCATTTTCGCATCCATAGTCCTGCACACAATACAATTCGTCAGGGCCTCTACAACAGTAAGCAGACAGTTCAATACGAGCAGGAGCCTGCAATTCAGCACACGCTCCCGTGCTCCTGTGTAGCCTATCCCGATCCTCGTATTTGCAGGTTGTACGCATCAACCCCAGTCTCTTGGATAACATGTGAGCTATCAGACATCGTGTCTGCCTATTTTGACAGGGCAATATGTACTCAGTAACCAGACATTATGCAGCGTGTTAGGCAGTTACGAACCGCTACCAGAATTTAGTGCTCAATAGAGTAAGTACAGTATCACGTCGTGAAGGATAGCACACCAAGCAAGATCTCAATATAGTCCATAATGGACCACAATTGTCCACAGCTCCCGTTCAGTCACCTTCCCCACTAGCTCTCTGTACTATTGCGGGCCAGTGTCGTCCCAGACAATGTTCGGTGGTGTCTGCAGACGCGTATTGTACCTGAATGGTGCCCAATGCGGATAATTGAGCCAGCCATTCCAGACGTGTTCGCGGAGGCGGATCACGTGCACGCCATCCCACCAGCAACGGGAGCTGGCCATAAAACAGGAAGCCAGTGTCATCTTATCAAAAAGAGCCTCAGCCCAGCTTCAGAGTGATAGCCGATCAGTTCATCACACGGAGCCCTCCCAGTACCCTTTTAGGCTACAGCACCCCTGATCTCTAACTTCCTGGCCACAAACAGCTTCCACCATTCGTCCCCCATCCATCTGGTTCCAGAGCCTTCAACCATCATCTCTCCGAGTCTATAATGTCGTACATCACTCCACAGACACCCCCTCGGACTAGACTGCTGGCCAAACCTGCCACTCCCAAGGGTCTTTCGACTCCAACTACTCCCTACAAGTCCAAGGGTCACTCATTGATGACCCCGTCAAACTCTTCCAAGAAGTTGGCAGATCCATTCAACTCAGGCCCAGTGGGTGGCTCCAGTCACCCTGAATCGGTTTTCAAGACGCCATCTTCCATACTCAAAAAACCAATTCTTAACTTGAGCAAATCGAGCACCAACCTTCGCCAAAGCAACACCGATGGATCACAGACTCTATTGACCCCAGAATTTACGCCCCAAAAATCCCCAAATAGATCAACAAGAAAGAGAAGGGTGTTGCCAGACGATATATTCAAACACGCCACAAACAGCATCTCCAAGGTCAATGACAAGCTCTCGTTTGGCCTTTTGCTTCCTATGCCTTCTACCGTGGGGTCTGGCAGAAAAGCACCAGCACCAGCAAAGATGGGCAGAACGCTAGGCAGCCCTACGAGCGAAAGCCTAATTGCTCATGATGATATTGATATTGAACACGAAGAAATAGACCTCGAGACTCCGCTTCTTAAGCAGCCTCTTACTCCCTCGAAACAATTGATTGATGAAGATTTGGTAAGTCATTGGCACGGAAAGTCGTTCAACAATTATTCCTCGGACGAGGACTTATCCGACGAAGAAATAGTACCATCCAAGCCACAGAATCCATTCCTTACAGAAACAAAGACTGCACCAGCTGCCCCAAAGAAATCCAGTGCCAATCCATTCAATGATCCATTTAATTCTCCTACTTCAGATAAGCAGCATATCGATTACGGCACACACATGGAGTTAATCAAGTCGAGGACAGGCGAAAGAAGGGTGGTGAAGTTGACCAGTCGCCAGAGCCAAATTAAACCCAAGAAATTGGACTTTTCGAATATCTGAATCGTGAATGCGGGCTTTCACGAGTATATAGAGTAATTAATAATTCGGAATTTTAAAATGTAATCTTATCGCTATCACTACTGCTACGTACCGATAGGCTTTCTCTAATAACTACAGATGTAAAATCTTACTACAACAGTTATCATCGATACTTTCATAACAACCCAGGGATATTTATCCAAATGACTCCAAACACCTACTTGTGACGGGAATGTCCATCGCGACATTGCGACATCCGCCATCATCAACTCGCGACATCCATTGCACCCACATTAAAGTCAACACAGGTGTACCATCAGCTGAACTGCAATCCCTCTCCCCTAGTACAGCCAACTAAAGGAGCCTTGCTTACATCTAAGTGCATCTGCCCATCTTAATCATCACGTGCATCGTTTCCATAGACTAATTAGGCATGTCACTTCCAGGATTTGGAACGTCAATTTCACCAGAGGAGTCTGCTGTCACATCCTCCATCGACATACCTGCCTTCTCAGAATGGAGAATTGAGGTCCCTTTCCGCACCTACTTTAAGTTCAAAGTCATTAAGGGTGTTGCGGAGATTTTTGGTACCGAGCTTCCTCTCAATGTGGAGATCCAATTCTGCGGTGTCAAGTATGCCATCTACGCTCCATTATCCGAAGGGTGTACCATCGAGTATGCCACCACTCCCAACAAAGAGAACATGACCAATGAAGTGGATGATGTGGTGGAATATTTAAGTGAGGAGACCGTAATGAAGAAATACATCAACCTTCATCTAGGATTGGAAGGATTGAGGCAGCAAATTTCCGACCACAACATAATCAACTCGCAAAAAGCCAAAAACGGGCCTCGTGTGTTGATTCTTGGCGGAAAGTGCACTGGAAAGACTGCTTTGGCCAAAATCCTTTCGTCCTATGCTTTGAAAATGGACAGTACCCCCATATTGGTCAACTTGAATCCTAGGGATGGTGTATTTGCATTGCCAGGATCAATTACAGCCACTCCTGTCAGTGACTCTTTTGATTTGGAATGTGCTGGTGGTTGGGGCTTTTCGACCACTTCTGGTACCTTGTACCATAATCCAAAACAGCCCATTGTCAAGAACGTTGGATTTGTTAATTTCGATGACAACCTTGATCTTTACAAATACCAAATATCCAAATTGGGCCTTACCGTTATGTCACGGGTTGAGGAGGACCCTAAAATCAAGAGCAGTGGGATAATTATTGATACACCGCCATTGGCTATTAAGGACATTTCATTAATCGAAAATATAATCTCTGATTTCGAAGTCAACGTCATTGTTGTCATTGGAAATGAAAGACTTAGCATTGACTTGAAGAAAAAGTTCAAGCACAAATTGAGTTCGGCTCAGTTGGATATTGTGAAAGTCCCTAGAAGTGAAGGTGCCGTTGAAGTCGACGAATCCTTTGTCAGAAGAGTTCAAGAAGAGACCATTAAAGAATATTTCCATGGCAACTATAAGACCAGATTATCGCCTTTCAAAACAGAATTAGAAGTTAGAGATTACTCCATTTACAAGGGTATCTTGAGTCTGGATCTCGCCTCCACTTTGGCCTTTTTGCCAGCTGGTGATTCGTATACTGCCGACGGTGAGGGTGATAACGACAAACAAGAAGAGAATTCGCTTGACAAGTACTACAGCTTATTGTCGGAGCCAAGTCCATCCAATTTGGACAATTCCATCTTGGCTGTTACACAATTAGCACAAAAGAACATGCTGACCAAAGATTTGTTGAATACTAGTGTTTTAGGTTACGTTCACATATCCAAATACGACGATACCAAAGGCAAGTTGAGGGTGTTGTTGCCATTCCCTGGGGCTTTCCCCAGAAACGTGTTGATCTCCACCCATATTGGCTTCAGCGATTGAGTGGCAATAAAGTCATTCATTGGGTATCTAGATCATATACAGGGTATTAATAGTGGCTAATCAAAGGGCACAGGCTTGAACCCGTTCCTTTTCAAACTTTCACTAGCAGCAATAGCACTGGGAATCTTAATACCACAACAGTCTCCCCAAGTGTTTACGTGGACATGGCCACAATCTTCTTCGACGTGCTCATGTTCCCCAACACCTTCAGGGCATGGTATGGTGTCGCCAAACATAAAGTGCTGGACAATTGGCAATTTGCTCAATACTTCGGCCTTGTACATTTTTATCATTCCGTCCTTGATTTTTTGCCACGATTTGGCCGACAGAATATCGTCCAACATAGGAGAATGCCACCTTAAGCTCAATTTATCTTGTGTGGGCAATGTCTTGATCTTGTTGATGAAATAGATGCACTCCAAGTACATGTACTTCTCATGATACATTGCCACCAATTCTTCATTGTGGATCAGTTTTGGTTTCATGTGAGGATGGGTGGATAGCTGAGCCGATCCAAAAAGGAAGGGGAGAAAGTGGTAGTCGTCCAATCCCCACACTCCGTGTGAGCCTGCTGGTTCCAACCAGTATGTTTTTTGCAATCTTCTCATGATTGCGATGTACTTAGTGAACACTTTTAAGGTGACTGCAGACATGTCCTCTTTCTGGATCACCTCGTGCTTGTATAGACAGTATAAGAATGAAATAAAGTTAAGCTCATGGCCAGAGCCGTAGTCAATACGCGTGCGATTTCCCCATGATTCACTGAAGTAAGTCGCAAGCTCTTCTCCAAATCTTTCCGCATCTTGATGTGTCGTCTTTTGGCTCCATAACGGCTTTAGTATGTTCTGTGAATTCTGTTGCAACTCATCGTAAAAGTCTCGAAACTCAACCTTGCCAAATCTTGAGATATCTTTTTCTATAACAACTGGATTGGCATCAATGATACCGTCCACTTGTGCCATTATGTCTAGCAACTTCATGCAAGCTTCTGAAGCGGGTACTGGGGCATCATTTGTAAGGCCCTCCACCAGCTGCTGAAGATCCAGAACAAACAGGACGATATTCTGATAGGAAGGGGAATCGATCCACTTCTGGAGATCCTCTGGGGTTGTAATTCTTCTGGAAGGTGTCATTGATGGATGATTAGAATAGACTAGCTAAACATATGGCAAGTACTGCGCACCGTGACCTTGGATCACGTGAACATACTTTTCACAGTTGCCACAACAGCTGGTCAGTAATGGGTTGTATGGAGTTCCAACTGGGCTCAGATCGTATTTCGTATGAGATAGAGGTGCAGCTTCTATAGGGATCTAATTTGTGGTGGAAATTTTGAATTTGGTGGCAAATAGTAAATTTCATCCAACCAGTATATTCTCTGGTACAAGTCTAGGGCATATCCACGGTAGAACAGTGACCCCCTGCTACTGATACGTTCATCCTGAACTGACAATGTTGTGTAGATATACTTCAGTAATACAAGAATAACCTTCAACTCGCTTTTACACGACTACCAGTAATCTGCGAAAACTTTTCATTACAACCATAAGCAGTCATGAATGGTGTTTCCAAGCCACTCAATGGTCTATTGTCCTTATCGACCCGTACAAACTTCCTCAACGATGTAAAAAAAAATCCATTATTGTCCTCCATTCTTCAGGAGGCCAAACCTTCACCAGAAACCGTTAACGCCCCATCGACCTTGCCATTGAACATCCTTCCCAAGCAAGAGATCTACGACCAAGTTGCCCGTGAAAACCCTGAGGCGTCGAGCCATGGGCTCAAATTCAAGCAATCGTTTGGATACGCCAAGTCCTTGATGAAGTTCTATAAGTCTGGGGTTACGAATGTATGGAATAATCACAAATTGGTCCAGGATTTGCGCAAGAAAGGATACCAATTGCAACATGTTGACAGACGAGGTAACGAGCAGGCTATTCGCATTCCAAGCTTCAAGGTTCTTACTCAAGAGATGAGCCAGCAGTTGTATGTTGTGAAGACACAGAAACTGGCCACCAAAGAGGAGGGTGAAGTGATTAAACACAACTCAACTGAAGGCGAAAAGCTTTTCAACCTCACCAGAGCTCAGTATCAGCTCATGAACCGTACTCCTCGTGACTTTTACAAGCTTCCAATGTTTGGTTTGATATTCGCTATTTTCATGGAAATGACTCCTCTTGTCTGTTACGCCATTCCAGAGCTTACACCCCTGACGTGCGTCCTCCCATCCATATTACCTCGTATGTGGAATACCAAGATTGTCAAACAATTGCTGCAGGCTGCAACTCGTCCAGATAAACAAGCTCAAAATGCCTACAACTTACCAATCGAAGAAGTCCGGATTTTGTGCAAGTCATTAAGAATTTCTTCGAAGTACCTCCCTTCGTTCGTTTATCCTGAGACTTACTTGAGAAACCAGTTGCAGCACTACTATAATTATTTAAAGGTTGATAACTACTATCTCTCAGGTTTAAATGGCGGTGGAAATGTTTGGAACATGACCAACCAAGAAGTTATGGAGGCATCTTTGGAAAGGCTTTTGATCGATGATCTCGCAAAGGTGACCAAGGAGTTTGATGCAATTAAAAATGAAGTAGAGAGAGCCGAGAAGGAAACGAGCTACTTCAACGAATTAAGAGTGAGATTGGCCAAGTTTGTTGTTGAATTTGAAAACTTCAATGTGGGATACTTAGGTAGAGAAAGTATGGCCGATGCCGACATCAAGAAAATCATGGAATGGAGATAGCTCTACGAGTAGCTAGACCGTCCAAAAACCCTCTACACTCGGAAAAGGATGTTTGATGTGAACCTACCCTAGGTGATTGTAAATAGAATGTACATATGCCGATATCCCGAGTTCATGCTGTAATTCAATTCCGTAGACGACTACATTAAGATTTCATGAAATGATTCTATAGTTCTCAAATATATATTATTTACTCAAGTGAGCACGTTATCGCTCGTTGTCTGACGTTAATGCCTAATCAGTGATTTGCTCCGACTCTTTTATACGTTTGGCAGCTCTATCGTCCTCTTCAATTTTTCTTTTTTGCAGCTTGCCACTTCCTCCATTACCCGTAATATTGGAAGCGGATTTGATCATACTGGACATAATCGCACCATTGTAAGAATCAATAATTGGTTTGGGTTTTAGCTTTTGATCTTCAACTCCTTGAGCAATTGGATATGACTCTCCGCCATGAATTCTCTTCCCACCATTTTCAAGTCCTGTGGAGTTTTCTATAATAACTTCGTAGCCTATGCTCTCTCTAGACTTATCGTCCACAAAGAAATACAAGTTATCCCCTTGGAATAGCTGAATCTTTTTGCCTTTTCCAATGACACTCTTGTTCACAGAACAGGAATTAGTACTGAAGTCTAGAAGCCAAATTTGATTAAGATTGTTGGAAGTTTCGTTTACCTTCGTGTGAATGACACAATGGATTTTTGACATTCTATCATCGTTGATAAACGTATCACACACTTCGTTTCTTCCAATAGAATATGGGTTGATTCCTTGCTTTAAGTAGAGCGGGTTCTGAGACATCGAATTGGGCAAAGGCATTAGTCTGATAATTGTACTAGGTGGTACATCTCCAGATGGGTTTGAACTAGTTGAAATTTTCAAGTTCTCAATGGGGGCAGATTCTCCTTCCGATATTTTGGTAGGTACATGATTTTCCTTCTCTCCAAAAGGAATAGGAAATGAATCGTTATTTGAATTGTATGAGCCCGGGTTTTCTGCTAGTTTGGTTGGTGAAAGAGATGATGAGGGAGGCTGAGACGGATGAAGTGGTTGAAGTGGCTGTCTTTGAGGCTGTGAGAATGGTTGTGATGCATGTGGCTGAGATTGTGGTAAGGGGACCACCCTTTTTGGTACTTTGAAATCATTCTTCTGACCTTTGGTCTTTCTATTCTTCTCGCTGTCTAATGGTCTCATCATAAGATCTTCATCTATTTTGCTAATTGAATCAATTGGCAAAACTCCTCCGTCAATCTTACGAGACTGTTGAGATTGAGATTGGGATAAACTTAACCCCTTCTCCTGGCTTTCCTCGTTGTATACGTTTTTTATCCATGGATGTTGCAAAGCTTCATCTGCTGTGATTCTCAATCTTGGATTGACTTGCAAACAACATTCTAGGAAGTCTCTCCCCTCCTTTGAGATTTCATAGGAATTCAAAGGGGACTCGTGGTATTCCCCTTGTTTGATCTTTTGAAACATTTGAGCTTGCGTCTTACCGTTGAAAGGTAAATGTGAGGTAAGAAGAACATAAACAAGACATCCCAATGACCATATATCAACCAACGAAGAGTAATTATCCTTTGGAGATTCACTCTGAGATAAGTCATATTTACCTGTGATTACCTCTGGTGCAACATATGCTAAAGTGCCACAGAATGTTTTCATGAACGTTGAATTATCACTAAACTTAGCCAATCCAAAGTCTGTGATCTTGACAAGGATGGGATCATCTTGCATAATGAGTATATTGTCTGGTTTGAGGTCTCGGTGAGAAATTCCAAGTTTATGCACGTATGATATTCCTTCCAAGATTTGTTTCGTTATGACTTGTGTTGCATCCTCGCCAATGGCACCATTTGCAGCTACGAAATCCATAAGATCGCCACCAGGAACAAGTTCCATGATAATATAGTAATTGTCGATGTCTTCATAGAATCCTTTAAGACTAACAATGTTTGGATGGTCCAACTTCCTGAGAATAGAAAGTTCCCTATCCACGCCAGCCAAACCACCAGTAGGGCCACCTCCCGTATTCAATGCCTTTCTGCGGTTAATAATCTTCACTGCGTAAGAATGTCCCGTGGATCTTTCCACTGCCTTTTTGACAGTTGCAAATGCACCTTGGCCAATAGTCTCATTCTTGATGATGTAGTCCTTGAATATTCCTTGGTCTTTAAGCACAGCTGCGGCACCTGTCCCTCCAGGTCCTTGTTGGCCCATCTTGGTGGGGTTATATGGATCAGAGAAAAGCACGACAAACCTGATCACATCCTTAGGAATCCCTACACCAGCTGCTATCTCGTCTCCCTGGTTCAACATATAGTTTGAGCCTTTCACAAGCCGTATGTGATTCAAGTGGGTTCCGTTGGTTGATGTGTCTTGAATCCACAAGGAATTGTCTGAAAAATTGAGCCACAATTTGAAGTGTTTGTTGGATATACGTGAGGATGATGCCAATGTGAAGTCTGAGTCTTGGGATCTTCCAAATACCCATACTTTCTTGCCAGACGCTGGTTTTTTGTCCACGATTAAATCGTAGTAGTTGTGTTGACCTGTCGTGCAAATAAGACGGCACACCCGTCCCCGGTCCAGGGGATCCTGTGTCTGTGTTGCCGGTGATTGTTGAGTCGGCTGGGTCTGGGTTGGTTGGGTAGATGTCATTAAGGATAGAATTCTATACTACGCGTGGTTAAGTGTTGATAAATTTGTGTCATGTGAGCGCGTATTTTCGAGGCGAGGAAGAGTCCAGGCGAGGAAGAGTCCAAAGGATTATTAGTTGATGAAAAGAGTCTGGTAGGGGCTAATTACGTCCATGGAGAAGGCGAAGTGTTGACACTTCTTGCGTCCAACCAGATTGGTAAGTTTGAAATAGAGCATTGTGCGCTTGAAAGTATTTTAATGGGAATTTGTGTGGTGAGAGTTGGATACTCCCATAGAGGGGAGACTAATATTAAGAGATATTTCTACTTCTTTGTGCAGTAGTCATTACGGTTGATTGTAGCGATTTAACATAAATTTCCATTGATCGGTCCTTTCACGTACAGATGGTTCATTCGCAAGAATGGCGCTGGGTATGGAAGAGTATGCTAGTCTTGGAACGGCAGAGTTTCCAGTATTGAACTGTTGCTCTCTGAAGTATGACATAAGTAGGACCATATTCTGAGGAATCCAAATCATCTATCCGTTTTCAGTATTCAAACTATTCTTCTGCTATACCTATTGCTGCTTTTTCACAAACAAACATTTGTGAGCATTCTCTACCCAAGGTGAGCAGGTACTACCCAAGGTGAGCAGGATTATCGATGTTTGAACTGTCTATAAGAAATGATCTCGCTGGCAGAACTCATATGTACGTACAAATTCTCAATTCTTGCCCTGAATCAGCTACAATGGCCATCTCTAGCACATTTTCGAAATTAATTATATTATCGTATAAACTCATTAGCTTACTAGCACGCGTGCTTAAGCAAGACTCTTGATGGACTTCATAGAAGTAATTGGCTCTAAAGTGACCTCGCCCTCTTCGTTCTTGTATTCCAACTGGTTCAACTCGTCTTCCTTGGCGTTGTAGTGGTTGAAACATAACCAGAAGCAACAACCAGCAATGAAACAAGCAACAGCCAAACCAGTGAAGGTCCAGACCAACTTTGGATCAACAGAGGTGGAGGATAATGCAATACCAAGGGCAGAGCCAACAGCGTTGGTAGCCAAGAAGAGAGATGTGATGAAAGACTTCATGCTGACTGGAGCCTTGGTGTAAGCGTATTCCAAACCAGTAACAGAGGCCAAGATTTCAGACATGGCAATCAAGAAGTAAGCTGGGGCTTGAATGGCAACGTGGATATGGTTTGGAACGGTTCTGAATTCTGGAGCACAAGCCTTTGGATGGTCAAAACAAGGGCCAGCAGAGTAGATGTAATGTTGAAGAACAGCAGCGTAAACCATGGCACTGGATGCAAACATGAAACCGAAGAAGATCTTGGTGATAGCCTTGAAAGGAGTGAACTTTCTGATGAATGGGTAGACGATTCTTTCACAGATAGGAATGAAGATAATGATAGCAAGAGAGTTAATAGCTTGCAAGATATCGTTTGGCAATCCGTGCAATTCCATTTGACCAGCTTGGGAAACAAAGTTGTTCACCATTTGACCGTAGACAACCCAGTAGATAGGGTAGAAAGCAAAAACCTTACAACCGTAGAGAGCTCTCTTAACTTGGTCAACAAAGTGGTCGTCCCAGTTGAATTGCTTGTCTGGGTTTAAGGATGGTCTAGCAGCGTCCAAGTTGAAGTTGTTCTTTGCAGCCATGATGACACACTGGAAGGTCTTGTTGACGATCTTGTCACTAACTGGCATCTTGACGTATTGGTTTCTACCCAAAACCAATGCAATGATGGCAATAAAGAAGAAACAGAAAGGAAGAAGGTAAGCAGCCCAGAAACCAACGTGGTGCTCCAACTGAGTGGTAGCGATGACAGACAATGAACCAACGTTGATCATGAGGTAGAAGAACATGAACACGTTTTGGATGGTGACGTTAGGGTCAACAATGACTCTTTCTCCGCTGGCCAACACCTTGATCACAGGCTTGGTCTTAGGAACTTGGTCAGCAATCAATGGAGAAACGTTGGACTTGACACCACCAGTAGCCAAACCGATGATAACAATGGCGATGATGTACCCGATCAAGGAACCAGTCTTGCTAGCGATGGATGGGATGGAGGAAATGAACAACACGAAAATACCAACAATGTAGATACAGCAGAAAACGAAGATGGTTTTGAACTTACCCCAGTAGGTGTCTGCGAGCCATCCTCCGAAGATTGGAGTAAGGTAGCACCAGAACTGGAAGAAGTAAGACAAGGCAGTGGCACCCTGGTTCTTCAAGTTCAACACACCCTTTGGCGAGTCTTCAGGCGAGTTTTGCATGTAGTTTTGGAAAGGAGCACTCAAACCGTAGTAGGCGAAACGTTCAGCCAACTCGACAATTGCAACCAACCAACAACGAAGAGGAATCTTTCCAGAAACATGTCTCAAAGTCTTCATTTCTTCGTCGGTAGGAGCTCTTCCTTCGTCCTGGCCTTGGGAAAACCCATCGCTAGTAAGAGAGGTAGAGGACTTGAAGTCTGGGTCTTGGACAGACACTTCGGCGTCTTTAGCTTTTTCCAAGGAGGACATGGTGGGGTCAGTTGGATGTGGAGGGTAATGGCGAGAAAACTGTCGTCTTATATATTTGCACCCAAGAAATTCTGCTTATCAGGAATATGGAGCCGTACATTCGGGCAGCGATCGTATATTAGCGGCAAAGGTGTAGTGGTAAGGCGTTCCGTTATGATAGTGGGGAGATGCATTGCAAAGGTTTCGGTGCCAAGATGTCGGTTCCATATGAGAGCCGTATGTCAGATCAAACCATCTTGGCAAGGCTGGCCCGAGGGTTGCATCCGAAAACCGAGGGTGTCTAGGTTTGTGTCCGGAACTGGCTGCGAATTGAAGATTATCCATGAACGTCTTTGTGTCGGCGTGCCCATGGGACGTGGTGTGGAGGCTGCGGGCTTCATTCACGATAATTAGGTTGTGGGCTAGGGGCGCTACCCCGATTTACCGTTGCTTGCCGAATGGTGTGGTCTGGGGCTCCGAGTGCTGATAGTACCTGATTACCCCAGAAAATGGCGTTGATTGCTGTGGGAGTCTGACTCGGGCCCCCGATAGATATCCCCGCTGTTATCTAGCTAAAAACAATGTGGGATGGTTGGAAGAAATTTGAGGATGATACTTGGGGCTCGGGATTGAGCTGGTGGTGATAATTCGGGTTTTCACGGTCTTGCGAGAGCTGGAGAGGTTTTCATCGAAGCCCACTCCGGAACTTATTCAAGTACTGGTCAAGCGTTTGGAGAGAAGGTCTATCACTGTGGCCAGTCGATGGTAAAGCCATCGCGAGACAAAATGGTCCATCTTACGCTATTTTAGGGTTCCTCGACATTACTGGAATGGAGCCAGTAATTAATTTTAACAGCCCCATTCCATACGAGAAGGAGTGTTGTCAGTACTATACATGTGCCAACGACTTTTGAGTGGATGGAAAGTGAATGGTTGCCTCGAACCCATCAGCCATTTTCTACGTAGTATTCACCAATGGTCTTTGAAGCGCCACTTATGAGTGCAATCCACACGACGCTGTACGGATCCACTAACATGCCTGCAAACACGACTTCCGCATGATAACCACAGTAACCATCCTCTAGCAAGAAGATGAAAATCACCTCTGAATCGGCATCCATAGCCCCGATTCTCACGCAGTGGGCGGAATTTAATTATGGGGCCGCACCAAATGCCCAGGGTTGAAACCAGAGGGGAACAAAGCATAACAGCTGCAGACTGGCCAAGTAAAACAGCCTGTGGGACTTGGGTGAGGATCAGTCCAGGTCTACTGGCTCCTGTAGATTCCCATACCAAGGATCCTCAAGCTTGAATCGAGAGGACCTCACATTGGCACTTTTCTACATCTTTCTTTGCACCCAAACTGCACCCCTCGGTGTAGACCGATGGGGAAGAAATGGACGGAATACCAAGCTTCCTGGAAGTGCTATCTGTAGAGTTGGCGGATGGCGGGGCCATAATAATGCCAAGATCTGACTGTGGGCTGTGGCCCGCTGACCGCTGGCATATTGCGGGCTTGGCGGCTCAATTCCGAGGGCGAGGCTCCGGGCGCACTCAGGCATACCAAGAAATGTCATGGCTGCAATAATTATCCGTATCTCACTCAAAACGATGATTGATCTGATAGGCAAAAGTGAGATTAGCATACGGCTTGCTGACTACCCGCAAGATTAGCTGGTTGCGATCGTATGCATGGATCTAGCGCCACTGTTATTTTGGTGCAGGTGCCAAGTATTGAAGTACGGAACGCAGAATGCATTTCTCACTATCAGTAAAGTAGTTACACCGATGGATATATTGAGCCGATTATCCTCGAACTGAAGGTGGACTTTTGTGGATTCAAGATGGACAATTTGTGCCATCGGGCTATGGGTGCTTCTAGTAGTGATATCTGCAGCGAAAACCCGGCATTTCAACCGGCATTTATTATATTATTTCGGGCTTTGATTCGGCATTCTGGTGATTTCGGCCTATGTACATCTTACTAGACTCTACATCTAATTTCTCGTTTAACGTTGTTTGTCTCTATATTTTGGTTCATCCTATCATTTACTCTCGTTAGGCTCTATTTAATTACTCTCTGCTTTTCAATATTTGACTGACAGTGTCAACGACAGATTGCTCCAAACTAATCTGTTCGAATCCCAAAATCTTGTTGGTTTTAGAGTTGTCAAGTTTACCAGCGAATGGATTTTGCAATGGAGCATTCTCGTTTTCAGGGGTTCCCACTGGAATGGTTTCTCTCAACTTGGGGAAGTGTTCTCTGATGATGTTGGCAAGCTTTTGGGGAACAAATCCTCCGTTGCACAAGACCAATCTCTGGTTGGCAGCCTCGGCACTTTCTGCAGCGACGATGTGAGCTTTGGCAACGTCTCTGACGTCAGTGAATTTACCTTCAAAGGTAGGGTAAGGATCAGTTGGTTTGAGCTTAAGGTAAGCATCGATATGTCCAACACTTGAATTCAAGTTTTCCTTGGCTTCAGATTCAAAGGCTTGAGGACCAAAAACGAAAACTGGGTTGACCACAGCCATATCGAAGTGAGGCTTGTGTTCTTTCATGAAATCCCAAGCAGCCTTTTCAGCAAATACTTTGGATCCACAGTATGCAACAATACCCTTACCAAGGCCCTGGCCTTCCAAAAGCTCACCAATTGGACCACCGTCAGTAGCAGCGTACTCCCAGGTCATATCAGTGTATGATTCCTCGGTGACAACAATATTGGTGTAGTCGACTCTGAAGTCAAAAGCCACGGTAGCGTAAGAGGAAGTGACAACAATTCTCTTGACGTTCTTACCGTGCTCTAAAGCACCATTGTAGATACTCTTGGTACCCTCAACAGCTGGGTTGAGAAGAGCTTCTTCGAAGTTGCTGCTGGCAAGAGATGCTGGGGATGCAGTGTGGAACACGTAGGCAATAGAAGGGTGCTTTTGGAAAGCAGCATCGAAGGCACCTGGAGCAACGAAGTCCGCAACAACCTCGTAGCTGAAGTTGGGGTTTTGGAACAACTTGGCGAGATGCTCACCCTTGGCTTCAGATCTAACAGTTCCAATGACCTTGTAGTCCTTGGAGAGAAGAGTCTTGACGATGTGTTGAGCAATGTAGCCAGTGGCACCTGTGACGAGAGCAGTAGAGGACATTGTGAATTGTGATGTATATGCTTGAATGATACAGGCCTCTACATCATCGAGATATCGTGCTCATTTTATAGTTTCCACCACCTTCGCCAGAAAACGAGTTTGGTTCCTATCCATCTCGCCAGATACAGGATTGTGGTGAGAAGAAGCGTGGAATGCTACCCAATCGGGGTTTTGTGCAGCTGATTGGGGTGGAGAGTCACCGAATTTCCTGCATATACCCCCAGATTGATTATTAATCTGGTGGGTGATTCACCTTTGCTGTTGGATCATCGAACAGATAATGTTGGGATGAACTACAGCCCAATTATTTGATGCGAGAGCAGGAAATTTGGTTGTTAACCATTGTACAGCTAAAACTGTGCCAGTCGCTGGTATTCTGTACCTAGAAAGTCAGTAGGTTATTGCTGAATACAGGAACGTATGCCCACATGGAGTTTAATGAATATCAGTGTGCATGCACCTCCAGGATTCGGCGTCGTAATTTTCTATCTCCGTTCCTGCACAGCTTGACTGCGAAACGTTCTTGCCGTGGGTCAATGTTTGGATTTGTGCAATTTATTTTTGTCATCCTAGTAACAATAAGAGACAATATCTCACAATAAACAAGCCAGTGGCTTTTACATCTGGTATCTGAAGATAAATGTAATCCGCAAATATTCTGCTTAACTCTCACTATCCGGTTATTCTACTATCGTTGGTTCAATTGCCCAGATAATACAACGTTTTATCTGTCTAATTCTTACTATTCATCCAAAAAATGGCTATTCCCCACACTCTACATCATAATTGAAATTCATGTCTAATTTCTAATTCAAGTCTAATTTCTCAGCGATATCACAGTACACATGTGTTAAATACTTGCACAGTCAAATTAAGAACTATTCTTTCCTTTCAAGTATTGAGTCACAGTATCAACAATCGACTTCTCGATCGAAATTGGTTCGAAGCCTAAAATACTCTGGGACTTGCTATTGTCAATATTGTGATAGTGAGAAGTCTTTAAGTCTTTTTCAGCAGATGCTGGATTTCCTTCGGGCAAGGATTCCCTTAATGCAGAGAAGTTATCCCGGATAATGTTAACAAGTAATTGACCATTGAAAGGTTCTGTTGTAAGAATAAACCTGTGGTTAACCGCGCCCTCAGCTTCACCTGCAACGACGTGGGCCTTAGCAACGTCTCTCACATCAAAAGAAACACCGTCAAAAGAGGGGATAGGTTCATTCTTGATAAGCTTAGCGTACAGGAGAAGTCTATCAACACTCCAACTAAGGGTTCCGGTAACTTCTTCGTCAAACGCCAAAGGGCCAAAAACGTAAGAAGGATTGACAACGCTCAACTCATATTGAGGTTTTTCGTTCTTGATGAAGTCCCAAGCTGCTCTCTCGGCGATAGTCTTGGAAGCAGCATAAGCAAAATGAGGGTTCTGGACAGCAACATCCCAGGGAAGTTCACTCCACGATTCCTCGGTGACTGTGTATTTCGAATAGTCAAAGTTAGGAGTGTAGGCAATTGCGATGTAAGATGAAGTTACAACAACTCTCTTAACATTCTTTCCATATTCCTTGATGGCCTTCAAAATACCGAGAGTGCCGTCCAAGGCTGGCTTTAAGTAACTTCTTTCAATATCATTAGCCACGTCAGGAACAAGAGGTGATGCAGTATGGTACACCGTAGAAATCGAAGGGTATTTCTTCAAGACTTCATCATAGGCGCCAGGGGCTGCAATATCAGAAATTATCTCGTAATCGAAGTTGGGATTATTGACAAGTTTCTTAAAATTTGAGCCTTTGCTGTCGGTTCTTACTGATCCAACCACCTTGTATCCTTTAGCAAGAAGTGCTAGAACGAGATGTTGAGCAATATAGCCATTGGCGCCGGTAACTAATGCGGTAAGAGTCATAATTGGGTTGAAGTTGTGTCTTGCTTGAGAGAGAAGTGAGCAACAATGTAGAGGCTACTGGGGGCACAATCAGGGTTCTTTATACGACTACTACGGTGGCGTAATTACTAATGGTTCTTGTGATTAAGCTTTCGAAGGAAATCCACATTTTGCAAGTGTAGGAGAGTTCGGGAAAGTGTTTGACGTACACCGTCCCGAAGCGAATAATGTGGTCGGAAAATTACAATGCGCAGGGTCCATATTGCAAATTGCTATTGCGGCTGTGGGCAGGCATTGAAGGCTTAAATTCGCCTCAACTTGCATCCTCAATTAGATGGTTATCCGGTAAATAGAGGTGCATGCTTGTTCCAGGATTGGGGGATCCCTTTGTCAAAGGCTTTGCCTATTGTTGGTTAAGAATTCACTTCAACTTAACCGACACGCTATCTTTTTTCTCCTAGTCGCTATTTGCAATCCAACCAGTTGCGGGTATTTAAGGAATCTTTCCGAGTTTGCCACCTCGCTGCTACGTCATAAATAGTCTTTTAGGTTAATTATATTGATGTATTACTAATTCCTGTACCCTACCCCCTACTTAGTTCGGGTCTTGACAGCTTGGGAAATGGTGTCCACCACAGTTTGTTCCAAAGAGCGGTGCTCGAAGCCTAAGATTTTCAAAGTTTTCGAGTTATCGAAAATACCGTTCTTGGTGGTGGTCAATGCTTCGTGTATAGCAGCCTCGTCCCCCTCTGGTATCTGATCTTTGAACTCGGGGAATTTTTCTCGGATAATATTGGCTATAGCGTGGCCGTTGAATTTTCCACTAAAAAGGAACAATCTTTGGCCGACAGCTTGAGCACTCTCTGCCGCAACCAATTGTGCCTTGGCCACGTCTCTAACATCAATGAACTTACCTGCAAAAGGTGGAAGGGGGTCGGTTGGTCCAAGCTTGATGAACTGACCCACGACTTCCGCACTGAAACTCAAAGTGTCCTTGACTTCGGAGTCAAACGCCTGGGGTCCGAAAACAAACGTGGGGCAAACAGACACCAACTCAATCAGAGATTCACCACTGTTTGCGAATTCCCAGGCAGCTTTCTCTGCAAAAACCTTGGAGCCAGAATAGCCATCAATACCATTTTTGAGAGCCTGTTCGTAGGTCAATTCGGTCCAAGAGTCTTCATTGACAAGCTTGTCCGCATAGTCGTAGCCAGGAGTGGCTTCGACAGCTGCAGCACTCGAGGTGAGCACTACTCTTCTGACATTCGTTCCGAAGGACTTTATGGCACTCAATATATTTTTGGTACCCTCAATCAGCGGTTTAAGGAGATTCTGCTCAACATTCTCACTTGATAAGTGAAACGGAGAGGCGACGTGGAACACGGTGGAAATAGCCGGGTGAGCCTTAAAGGCTTCATCAAAGGCCCCTGGAATAGCAATGTCGGGGACTACCACATAGCTAAAGTGGGAGGAATTGAAGAGCTTGGCAAAATGCTGGCCCTTCTCTTCGCTCCTCACCGATCCAACCACCTGGTAATCCTTAGAAAGGAGCAAGGCAACTATGTGCTGTGCGATGTAACCAGTGGCACCACTGACGAAGGCTGTAGGACTCATGATGATCAAGAAGAAGATAATTCTGGATCACAATTCATGGTGCCCAAACATTAAATTGGGCGCATCACCACTGGAGCCACATTACAGTGTTTTTAGAAAACATTCGAACCCTCGGCCCGGAACTTTTCGTAATACGGGAAACTCAATTTTCGTAATAGGGGCCGGATCTTTTCATACTAAGTTTAATTTTAAAACTGTACCNCCCTACCCGTGAAATTTACGACAGCAACTGCTTAGATTTGTAGTGCCTAATCGTTGTTGGAGCAAACAATGTTTTCCTCATTTTCCTTCTTAATTAAGGATTTCTCAAGAGACCGGAATTCTGGCAAAAAAAAATGTTCTATGTGATTCGCTAAAATATAAATATATCAATTATGGATTT